CTCTTTTCAGTCCATTACTTGACTTTCCTTGCAAGGATTTCCTTAGCAAAAGGGGTTCTATTTTTTTCAATCCACTGATAACTTTGAAGGGATGAGAAATTTATGGATTGGTCATCCAACTATTTCCACTAATGACTGCTTTCATAATTGGGGCTGGACTAGGCAGAGATGGCAGATTACAGGGCGGTGTTAGAAACCTGGGGGTGGTCAGTTACAGATTATGACTAGCTTCTCCAACAGCACATTGTCTGTAGGGCAGGGCCCTTGTGCGATGTTCTCACCTCCTGTCACTTGTCCCTTGTCATTTCACACTAGGGGTACACCTCCAAGCCTAGGACTCTGAGAAGACTGATAATAGCCATCCCTTGAAGGAATCTTCTGGAAGGTTTCTCCAGTCTGTCCTCTTCCAACAGGTGCTGGTCTCTACCACCTCCTTTGCTTTAAGTCAGCCAGACAATGACGAACTCTCATTGGTATTTGTGTTTTACAGACCACAGGAAGCCCCAATGAAATGGCCGTCGGGCTTCCCGGCACTTCCATCCACATCTTTTGGAAAAGCCATCAAGCCAACAGGAATACTCTAATGCTATGATTTGAAGATGAAGGGCTTAAATACATCTTCCAACTTACAATTTATTTAGTAGCAAAACTACAGACAAAACCAACACAAATAACAGGTCTCTCCTAAACACCAGCCAGGGACTAGACGAAGCCCAGTGATTCTGAACATGACCTACATACCGTCAAAGTGAACACGTTCTCTCCCTTCTGGATGTCCCACAGTTTGGCTGTTGTATCCATACTTCCTGTAGCCACCAGCGTGCTTTGGGGGTTAAATGATAAGCACACCTAAAGTACAGAAGACAGAATAAATGTTTAATAGATAGTTTCCTTTGGTTAATCTTATAGGGAAAACTTTCCACATTTAACTGTCTTGGTGGAGCCCATTTAGCTCCTTATGGAAGGTTCCTTACAAGTGACTCCCTATGGTAAGAACTGAATTGCGAATCTCATGCTCCATGGCTCAAGCATGCCAGCATTTAAAGCCATGAAGATTTAAGCCTTGGAAACCCTATACATGGTCACTATGAATCAGAAGAATCTCTGGCACTAAACAACAGGTGGATAGCAAAACACCAAGTACCAATAACTTGCCCTCTCCAGGCTGAGTCCTGAAGTGATCCCCTTTGGAGGAGAGGCCACCAGTTCACCTACATACCACCTCTGCTAGCTCCCTCTGCCACGTACAGACCAGAGAAGAAACAAGAACAAAAGCCAAACCCATCTTCCTTGAGATCCATGCTATCTGGGTCTCATTTTCCTGTTACTGCCTTCACAGTTCTTTCAAACACCTCTTCTTGCACCCATCAAGAGCAGTAGCTGCTGGTTCAAAGTCTCATCTCCAAGTCCTAGGTGGCCTTCCTGTGGATAATCTATCCAGCATCCCAGAGCAATGTCCCTGGACTCTCTTCAGGAAGCCCTCCTTGGGCATACCTTCTCTAGAAGACTCAGTTCTGATACATCAAGCTCCAATTATAGATTTCTAATGTGTCAGTCTACTTTTTATTTCATACCACTCCTACCAGTATCATTTCCATCTCAATGGACCCCTCCTTCTCTCCTGGACCATCATCTTCACCCAACCAGCACCCTGTAAGGTTTCCCTCCCTCCAGCATCCTTAACACCCTTACTTAGTCTCTGTCTTTCACCTGCACCTTTTATGTAAACTCCTGACATCAACTTTCATCACCTTAAGATTTTACCCAGTCATCTGCTCTCTCTCCCTTCTCCACTCAGCTAAATCAGCTGAAGCAAACTGCATGGCAGGTTCCTGCTGTTTCTTATCCGTGCTTTCTGAACCCAGATGAGTCTTTGGCACCATTCCATACATTCGCATGTCTCTAGTTCAATAGAGTCCCCCATTCTCCACTCTTCTTCCCAGCCCTGTGTTCATTCCCACATAGCAGATAGCATGGTGCCTTACTACTTCCCCATGAAAACTGGCCTATTAGGTGAAACATCCTCACCTGGCCTTCATTGCCCTTCCCCTTTCAGTCTCATGAAGAGTGTCCCCTTCACCAGCTAGAACCTTACCTTCCAGCACTCCTGGGAAAGAGGTGCCCACATGCTCTTTCTTCCCTCTAGATGAGATCCTTCCTGGTGGCTTATGAACATGTTTGACTTTTGTTTTTGTTTTTAAGTTTTTATTGTGAATTATGTGGGTTTACATGGGAGAACATCAGTTTTACATGCATCCCATCATATTTCATTTCTTTGCAATGATTAAAATCCCCTCCATGCATCATCAAACAACCAAAGGGTACACTCTACAGGCCTGCTCCCCCACCCCCACCCCCATCATCAGCACACAGATGCTCTCCCTCCCTGAGTCTAGAGTGCCCAGCTGCTCCATCTCTCCATTTCATGGTCTCTGCCTCCATTTCTGGCATCACTGATTCTCTGGGTACAGTCACGTACTCCGCTCTTCTCACCTGATGGTCCCAGGGACCTCTGCTCCTGGACTGCAAAATCAATCACTCCCCACTACTCCTTTTGTTACAAAACATCTACCTTTACATTTCTGACCCTCACAGTCAGTCTTGATAGCAATTATTCACTATTGTACCACAAGAGTCTTATCCCCATCTCATCAGCTCCGCCCAGACAGACTGGATAATACTCAGTGAAGATTCTACCTTCCTCCGCACCCTCTGGATCTAGGCTCCCTCTTGAAAGCTTGTAAGTCAGCCATTTCTTGCCTTTGTAGTTGTTGTTGTTGTTAGGTGCCATCGAGTCAGCACCAACTCACAGTGACCTTATGCAGAGCAGAATGAAATGCTGCCTGATCCTGGGCCAATCTCGCTATCAATGCCATGCTTGAGTCCATCGATTCTGCCACTTGGCTAACCCATCTTGTTGGGGGTCTTCCACTTTTTCTCTGACCCTCTCCTCTGCCAAACATGATATCCTTCTCCAGTGACTGACAACAGGTCCGAAGTATGAGAGATGAAGTTTG